ATCTACCGTTAGGTCAAGAAGCTCAACGCAAGCACTCATGGTCGTGTTGTCCCCGGAGGAGGAGAATGCGTTAAGTGCTTTCGAAGCTTCGGCGATTGTGATTTTGACGGCGTACCTGAAAAGCTGTTCTGGAGTGAGACTGCTTGCGTTTGGAGCTGATCCGACCGTTTCGAAACATTTATCTTTGTGCAACGTAACGTCGCAAACGGCTTTAACGGAAACGGAGATTGAGTCTCCGTTAACGTTAGTTTGCACCGTCGTTGACTTCTTGTGAGCCATGGTTCCGAACACTGCTCCGATCACGATTCCGGCGAGAACGACTAGGGATACGGCGATGATTGCTATTCTCTTCCTTGACTTACGACGGGCTTCGAGCATTGCGTGTTCACGCTCGTCGACTTTGCCGTAGGAGGACGACATTTTCGTCGTTTCCTCCTTCCCGTTGATATTTTCTTTGGAAAGTTTCTGGTGTTTATGTTTGGTCTAGAGATAGAGGAGGGTTGATATAAATACATGGGGCAAAAAATTATAATATAACTTGAATAAAACTAACAACTTACGTGCGAGGCACAAATGGGATTAGAGAAAATTAATTTAAATTATCAATAATGTATTTGACTATAAGTGCTTCTCTTTTGTTTTTTCGACTATATAAGTGCTTCTCATGTTATGTTTTCTATTTTATTTAAGCATATGTCGGTGAATCATATTTGTTCTTTGGAAAATGTTTTTTTCTTAAACCTTTCTTTAGAAAATGTTGCCACTATGTTTTCGGTTCGTGTTTCATGCTGTTCAGATTTTTCTCAAAATAAGTGTTAAAATCGAATAAAATTGACTGACATATAGCATAAATTGTGCTAATACATGTATATTATTGCAAGTTAGTATTGATTAAAGAATAATAAAATAAACTTTGAATCTATTACAATTTAGCTATTTGATTAGTTCAACGAGCTGGTATGTTTAGTTTCAGAATTTGGTAAGATGTTTAAGTTTATATATGTTATGTTTTTAATTTTGGGTTTGCTCATTGTTGATTAGTCTTTTATTTTATTTTATTTTATTATTATCATCAAGTGAGATGATTTTTTCGTCAATCCTGATTTTATATGTCACATCGTACAATTTGGAATTGTTAAGTCTTTAACTGAAATATTCCGAAATCATACAATTTGACAATTGATATTACAATATTCTTTGGGATATCGTCAACTTTGGATAATTAAAATATGTTGATATAAAACTGTCACGGGTTTTTTTTTTTTTAATAACTGAAAGTTCATTGATATAAGATTTTAATCAACTCATTTGTTCTCCCTTTGCAGTGTCGAGGCAATGACATATACATGTTCAACTATTGACCGTTTATTTTCAATCTTTACTCTAAGCCAAAATAAAGAAAGTCAAATCTTTACATTAATTTACTGTTTTTAGGTATATAAATTACAAAAAAATACTAGGCTGATTAAAGTCCATTTCATGACGTGTAAGTGTATGAATGGTTCTATACCTATGTATGAAATGCGATGAACATAATCATCACTGGCACTGGTGTTGTTACTTAGCAATGTAAAATGAATACGGATGGAGAAAATTAGCATAAGCTTTTGAGGAAGGGGAAAAGGCTAAAAAGCTTACCAAACACTAACAAAAGGATAGAATTAGACGCGTTACCAAACACCACCATATTTGGTCATCTTCCTCTTTCGACGGTCACTCCCACATCTCGCACTTCCTCTGCCCGCTTCTTCGTCTCTCTCCGTCCCATAACTCATACTTCGTGATACGATCTTCTAAGCATCCTTAGATCTTAATCTGCGTAAAGTTTCACGACAATGTCTTGGCCTACGGATTCTGAGGTTAATCTTAATTTTCTTTCCATTTTCACACGAATCTGCATGTTATCCTCCACGAATATGAGTGACAAATATGTATTCTCCGTTTACATTATCCTGGTAGAATGCCAATCGGACATTTGATCGAACAATCGCATTAGTCTGTGTGTGTTTGTTTGGATGATTCCTTCGATTGTTTTACTTTGTGTTCATCTTACGAGATCGTTCGGTTTTCCAGTTGATTGCGATAAAGGAGGCAGTGGCCAATATTACTGGAAGAGATACAGGGGAAGTTCGAGTGGTGGTCGCACCTTATCGTATATGTCCTTTAGGAGCTCACATTGATCACCAGGTCGGTTTGTGATAACAGTTTTGATTAAGCTATAGAGTTCTCTGATTCATATCATCTTTGGTATTTACAGGGTGGAACTGTATCAGCTATGACGATTAATAAAGGGATTCTTCTTGGTTTTGTTCCATCGGGCGGTACTCAGGTTTGTATGAGTTGTTGTTAGTTGTGATGATTCTTATGTGTTTTGGTATTCCTTTGTGTTTCTTGTAATCCTTGAATCCTTGCACAAATAAGCACCATTCTATTTTTTCGGATGAATCCCTCATTGATGGTATAAAGGAATTCTTCTAAATAGCATTCAGTATTTTGGACTTGGTTCACTTTGAGAGTAGATGGAGATTCTAATAATTTAGCAAGGCGGTGTACTTCACGATTTTTGTGTCATTACAAAAACATGGATGTTAAAGCGGGATCATGGCAGCATATAGTGGTGTCCTGGTTTCTTTTTGTCGCTCAGCTGAGATAGCCTTTAAAATTTGGATAGTTTAAATATGAATGTGGTATATAGACAGGGGACTAAGATTTATTTATGAGTTGGGAAAGTTACTTTGTCTGTGTGTTTGATTTGAGGCTGGAAGTCTTTCTACCATTTACTGTCTTTCTAATATGTATGCAGGTCCAGTTGCGTTCTGCACAATTTGAAGGAGAAGTTTGTTTCAGGTGTGCATGTCTTTCAGGATCTTTCATTATTATTGTTTTCAAACTTACATGTCCAACCTTAGACATGCATAAGCTGGTTACTAAGCCACATACTGGGAAAAGTCTGCATTGTAAATATTGTGGGAGCTTATTTCGATCTTGTCAGTATTACATTATATGTCATTCTAGTATGTAGATTAACTCATCTTTCACTTGACTCTTAGACAATTATCAGATTCAACCTTTTCCATTTTGCGTATCTTTCCTAAGAATTCATTGGAAATTGAGGACACTTAGCGATGTAAGGGAAACAAAAGAATCAGTGTTGGAAAAGCTTGTGTTTCTTGTCTAGTTTCTGTTTCATGCATTCTTACTGTTTTCTCTTTTCTACTGGTATTTCTTTTTTGTTTTCTTTAGTGCGTTTCAGTTTTGAACTTGTTGTGATGGTAAAGGATTTAAAGATATTCTACGCATAATGCTTATAGCTTTTTGGGTTCCCAAATTTTAGAGTAGATGAAATCCAGCACCCAATAGACCTAGCGAACAAGAATGGTGCATCAAAAGAAAACAGTATATGGGGCACTTATGCCAGAGGAGCGCTTTATGCATTACAGACCAGCAAAAAGAATCTCAAACAGGTAATGGTTAAAATCTTTCTTTTCCGCTTGCAGCTATAGATAAAGTTGACCATTAAAGGGAAATGAAGATTTTCCTGCACATTTGCAGTGCAATCTTCTGGGTTCCACAGTCATCCTTTTTTTGGTTGCCATTACCTGATCTGTCAGGCCTTGCTTTTCCCATAATAGTTGGCATAACTCTATTTAAAGCGAAAGGTATTGAATGTGTTTCTAAGTAACTGTTTTGATCTTTGAAGGGCATTGTTGGTTACATCAGTGGCTCGGATGGACTAGATAGCTCTGGGCTTAGCTCATCAGCTGCTGTAAGTAACTAAAACCTGCCAGCTTTGGTAGAGCATGAGGTTCTCCGAAATGACAGCTTTTCCTGTTCTTTAGTATAACTAAATACTTTTAGCATATGAGGGATGGTGTTGACTTCTCATTTTTGGAAAATGAATCTTGTAAATTATTTTATGATCACCAGAAATGTGACAGGTTGGTGTGGCATACCTGCTAGCTCTTGAGAATGCAAACGAATTGACTGTATCCCCAACAGAAAATATCGAATTGGACAGGTAAATATAATTTTCCCATTAATGTAACTAAGAAGCTCATCTTTTTGGCTTCATGAGCAGTTGTTTCTTTGTAAATTCAGCAATTATTGCTGCAAATTGGTCGATTTACTTGTGATTGATTGCATCTGCAGACTTATTGAGAATGGGTATCTGGGTCTGCGGAATGGAATTTTGGATCAATCAGCTATTTTACTTTCGAGCTATGGGTGTCTAACATACATGGACTGCAAGGTAAAATTTCGTTGATTTGTTGGTGATATAGTGTACAAAAAAAAGCAAGAAGCTTGCTCATGTGGTAAAATTAAGACTGTTCTATAGGGAGAGTTTAAGTTCACACTGGAGACTGAATTATACTGTGATTGTCAAATTTTCACGTTCAAATCAGATCTACAACTTTCCCAATGCGTTCCTGAGAAATACGAATGTTGCTTGCCTATCCTTAAATTCTTCCAGAAAATGCCATCTCAGAAGAACGGTTTGAAAATGCAGACTATGGACCACAAGCTCGTAAAGGCTCCTGAACTGGAGAAACCGTTCAGGATATTGTTAGCATTCTCAGGCTTGAAGCAGGCATTAACCACCAACCCAGGATATAATCTGCGAGTTGCTGAGTGTCAAGAGGCTGCTAAAGTTCTTTTGACGTATGTGCAAATCTACTTAATTCACGCTTATGTGCATCTTCGCCTTCTTTATATTCAATTTTCAGTGGAAATGCTGTGAAATATATAGCTCTTTTGCTTGTAATACTCTTTTCTTTGCATCACAACCTTCTCTTGATTTTCTTTTTCTTCAGTGCATATGGGAACAGTGAGCTGGAACCTACCTTGTGCAATGGTAAAAATACTCTTCAGTGAGCTGGAACCTAATGTCTCTTATTCATTGCATGCTAATTAGAGTTTCTTTGTTGCCATCTCATTACCGTCCCACTGAACAGTTGAGCATGAGGTCTATGAAGCTCACAAGGTAAGAAACATTACTCTTAAGCTTCTGGTAAATCATTTTCCACCTATAGGTCTATAAATTTATGTAATACAATCTTGCTTGTGCAGCACGAGCTGAAACCGGATTTGGCTAGAAGAGCAGAGCATTATTTCTCGGAAAACATGCGGGTTACCAAAGGCAAATGCTCCTTAATTCTTATAGAAGTCTCTTTATATGCAAGAATTATTCTTTATGATGCTTTACAGACTTATATGAATGTTTGTGATACTTAAATTTCAGGACTGGAAGCCTGGGCTTCAGGGGATCTCGAAGAATTTGGGAAGCTAATTTCAGCGTCCGGCTTGAGTTCTATTGAGAATTACGAATGCGGTACACTCTCTTCCATTTCTTCTCTCCCACTGCAACATATCGTGAAGTGAACACAGACGCGACAAGTCTGCTTTCACAGACATTA